TCGTCTTTCCCGGAGGATACCCCAAAAATAGTAGTAAAACTATTCGCTCAGCTCTGAATGTAGCCGCCCGCCTCCATCCAAAATAGGCCCGCAATTTGGGGCTTTTTGTGAAAGAAATATCCCGAACTGGACACTACCAGTCCCAAATGCGGGATTTATAGAAATATTTCTATGATCTCTCCTGATTATGGCATGTCTTATTGTAAAAAAAAAGTGGGATCACAAAATATTCATGAGCTCTCGCGCATTGCAAAAGAAAAAATAAAACAAAACAAAAACAAAATTGGTGGAATGCACGCATAAGGCCTACAAGATGTGATAACGAAAAATGGTATCTGCTGGTATAGAACTTAACTCCGTCTCTATAAGGACGCCCCCTATTTCCACCAGTAATGAGACGACGGCGAGAGCACGAAGCGACGGCACAACACGATGGCACGACGTACTCCAAGGGGCGACGGTACGATCCGACTACACGACACAACGGCTGCAGGCCACGACGAAACAGGTCGACGGCACGACGCGACGGTACAACGGGACAGAGCCGAGCGTCGCGTCGTGGCATCACGTCGCGGCGTCGGGGCGACGGGACCACGCGACGCAATTTTTGCGGCTATAGAACACCATACGTCCGACGTACGTACCATACCCCCAGGTGGCTCAGCTCAGCTAGCTCAAACCACAATTTTACCACCCACAGTGCTTTGCGTCGTGCCTGTTTTTTGGCTATCTGCGATACGATCCACTGGAAATGCAGTAGTTTTGAGAGAGAGTCTTTGTTAATCAAGCCCGTTTCAAATGTAGAAATAAATTGCCATTTGGACAACCATTTCCATACGAAAGTGGGCCATTTTTTATCATGTCCTAATTACGCTTCTGTACATCCAAGGATTACCTAAGCAGTAAATGTGAACTGTCAAAACTTTGTACATTTGGAGTTGGGTGTGCCAACTAGTTCTTTCCTCGCCTTCTACCGCTGCGGCCCTGGTTTGATTCCTGGCTTGGTCCACATGTGGCTTAGGTTTCCGTCCCCACCAGATTCCGTGAGTTTTCGCCTGAAATTTCTTCTCTGGGGTTTTCCTCCCACCTCTAAAACTGTACTTTACCGCTTATTGTTTCCTTTCTATAGATGTAGGCAGATGTGGGACATTTTTAATTTATGCCATTCGTTCAACAACGTCTAATGTCTTCATTGTACAGCGCTTTTGAACTTCGTGCTTTACAAATAAATAAAAATATATTATTATTATTTCCACTTTCAGGATTGTAAACATGCATCTGTATGGGTGCGTTCGATTAGCTTAATTCACGGCACAATCCTGACCTGCATTTGGCCGTGCGTATTAGGGTTAAACAAACGAGACGTTGGGAATGAGGATCCGGAGCACTCGTGCAAACTAAGGCCCCCCCCCAAAAAAAAGTCACCTGTCTCATTCGCGTCGCCGTAGTGCTCGTCAGCAAAATAATTTTTTGTTTATTTTACATAAAACGATTTTCCCAAGCCGCCAAACCTACTTGGTGGTCAGGAATTCTTCTACCGCGTAATTTTAACATGTTTTTGATGGGAGGGGTTCAGCAATTTGCACAGTGAAGGAATCCCCCGAGGCCTCCATACATTTCAGTGGGGCATTCTGATCAGATGACGTCATTCGTGAATCTTTACACGAAGGCCGTGTCCGAATCAGTTGGCTGCAGATAGATATCATGCATGATTCTATGGGAACTATCCGTGGATGCTGCCAAATACTCGGTGTAATTTCCGGCCGTAGCCAATTGATTCGGACCTAGGCCTACGTACGTCTGTGAACCAGACAAACGAAGTGGTCTGCGTCCTGCGTAAATATACAAATTGAAAACGCTTTTGAGTAACAAACCGTGAGAGGCCAGTCTATTTCAGTGTCGGCGAGGCAGTGGCGGCACATACGCATGCAGTGCATGCATTGACGCTGGACATGCATCGCGTTATGACCACCAAACATGTAACAACTCAGGCGTCGTTGATCGTCACTTGTCAAGACCAAAAGTAGATTAGAGTGGGGGAGATTTTATTTTCTGACCTGAATTTTTTCATCAATATGTTAAATGCAGCTTGTTTCTTATAAGCTAAAACAGAAATCAATTCGCACGGTATATCTGAGAATTTTATTTTCAATTTTGACTCTGAAGCTGAACTGTTTTCATTAATTTCTTTCAAAGGCTGTTTGACGTGCAACTTGTTTTCTCTAAGCTTAAACAGAAAACAATGTGCAAAGAATGTCATATACTGCTACCTCATGAGAATTTCTTTTAAAACCGGAAACTTGAGCTGAACATTTATTTTTCACATGGGATTTTTCCATTGCGGTTGTGCTACATGTACTGTTTTTTAACAAGCTCAGTCTTGCCAAGAATAGAAGCCACTTGTTTGAGTGAGATGACTGGAGCCGTTGCCTCTTGTCATATTTTATGGTCTTTTTATTAATTCAAAGTTGTTTATTCACACTTCTTGTGGTAACAAGGCCATGCGCTCTAAAGTATATGGGCACGTACATCACATCGAAGGGGAAAAGGAGGAAGATAAACAAACAGACAAACAGACAAACGCGTCCCTGCAACACTTTTGGGCCTAGCCATGACCAGAAACCGGAGTCTTTTGGGGGGGTCGAATCGAACGCAATGGCCCAATGAACACCAAGATTTTAAACATTTAGGCAATGTGAACTCCTTTTCAAAAGGTATGTGGTTAATCTTTTTTTATGAACTCCGCGACTTCACTCAGCGCAAGATAGTAGTATGCCTACTACATGTACATGTATAATGTAATTAGTAACTTGGAAACGGGACCCATGACACGGCTGTATGGCTGGTCAGTAGCCCAGTTCAGACGGAACTGCTAACGTGTCTAACAGAATGATGCGAAATGCGACGACCAGGAAAGAGAAAACGAAAGGCCAACAAAAATTGTAAATGGTGGTCTTTAGTGCGATTTCGTTAAAGGCGGGTCTACTTCGGCACCTTCCTGTGCATTGAGAATACAGTTGATTAGTAATGGTTAAACGAGCTTGAAATTGCCAAATACTGCACCAGAAGTTGCACATTTGAATATAGAGTTCTGTGCCTTGAGCGACACTACTCTCTTATGCGTCCGATCTCCCTTCGGTGTAACCAAGGAGGAAGGAAGACCTCAGTGCTCAAACCTGTAACCCCTCGTTCCACACGCAGGAGAAATTCATCTATTAGGACGTTGTGGCCCAAATGTACAATGTAGTAGAAATGTTTGTCCTGAAAAATCTTTTAACGTAAAAAAAACCCGAAAAAAAAGCTACAGATCGTGCTCTGTTTGGGAAAAACCTGGAATCTTTGAAAAATCATTTCTAAAAAAGTGAAGGAATAGATATGCGCAAAAGCCTTGACATTTTGAAAATTGGCTTTTGAAAGAATACTTTGCACTTAAATACTTATCCACTTTGTTTATTAATTTCAAATGATGACAATAATAAATAAGAGAAACAGAGAGTCGAGCACTAAGTTCAAACACCCATACAGTAAAGCATCACTAATATTGGAATCATGTACCGTACGTGTTTTGGAAAAATGAAACTGTAAATAAAATATTTCTGTTGGCTAAAAAAAAATGATTGGCCGGAACTTGCACTATTCTGGTAAAAGGCCTTACATTTCGAAATAAACATTTCTCAAAGGATTTTAGGAAAGTTGTCTGTATGCTCTAAAAGGTGCGATTTCGAAGCACTATTGCATCACTAGAATAATTTGATTCTTTGCAGGATGTCCCCTCAGCAAGCTCAAAATTTAAGGAGGGATGATAAACAAACACTAGTCTGTAATCCCTTATCCTGGAGTCAGCGATTTCCTGGTAAGTCTAGCTCCTTCGTGTGGACTACACGTTGACCCTAGACATGTTTGGCAGTCCCAGTAGCATTTGGATTGCCAAAGTACTTTCAGATAGGCGCGGAGGAATAATATTTCTCGAGGCAAGGTAATGGGGGGGTCAAACCGTCATTTTACCAGGGGGTTTCACACACGTTTGTTAATGTATCTTTCCAATTTCGACCTTGATAAAGGCATTCCGTGCCATAAATATAAATAAATAAATTAATATAAATTTTACACATTTGTGTCTTTGAGACTTAAATATGAACATGGAATTATTAAACATAACGTGACTCTGGTACACAGAGTTATCTGATTGCGATAACAACATTACATGCAGTTCCCAAAGCTAAAGACAATGTTGCTATACTGCGTGATCCAGTGCAAGCTTTTGCATGGCGACCACCAAATCCGGAATGGACTGGTTCCTTCGTCTCGTCTAGCCTACGCCAAATTTAGTCACTCTAAAATTGTCTCTTGCTGTACAATCTAATGGCAAGTTTACAGTTTTTGTAAAAACTTCGTTGACAACGCCCTCAGAAGAGGGGTGCAGTTAAAGATAATTTCTCTCTCTTTTCTTTCCTTGTGATTTACAAATGTATTATTTCGTTCTTATTAATCCCCTTCCACTCTTGATGCACATAATAGGAGGGAACTAACGGTAAACGAAGGTATTCTGAACCAATTGTCTTTAATTTTGCGATCTTCTCATTTTTCTGTAAATCCAGAAAGGCTTTATGTTTGAGGGTCTTGTTAATATTTTCCATTTGTTGATAATCATTTTTTAACTACCTGTTCTTGAGCCCGAGCATACAAGAGCATAATATTACGTACACGCGTGATTAATTTACTCTGCAGAAGTTTTCAAGTGTCAAAAGACAATCTCTGAAAGCTGCCAATCAGCAACAGCCTGTACGAACTTGATTTGTAATGACAAATTTTCTTGTACGGCGTTAAAAATGGCCAATATTTGAAACTCAATAGTACATGACTACATCAGGTTTTTCCAAATCAAATTGGTGGATTTAAATGAAACAAGTTTTAGAATAGCCTGGAAAACCTATACATTTTGTATCTAAATGTACTGTTACGTGCAAGTTGCTTTCGTTCCAGGCTCATTCCCGTTTGCCCTTTAGGGGGGGCGCCAAGGTTTGAGGAACCTGGACAACACCCTTCCGTTATCGTCGATACTCATTGTCACGTGTTTCCTATAGTAAAGCCTGGAGATTGATTTTAGTCAAGTTTGAAACTTGAAACTGTAGTGGAATGAATTCTGGCTTGTTCATCGACTTGAACTAGTCTAGGCTTTTCGGAACGTTCATTTGTCTTCCAATTAGGAGCCACTTCATCCCCTTGTGTGTTCTTGAACCGTTTATTGGTGCTTATTCCGCCCGATTAGCCGGCTTTACGGCTGGTACGCCACCTGGGAACACAGCAATGCATTGTGCCTCCCCCATCCAGGGTTTCATTCAAAGTGTACCAAGCCACAGCTGTCAATCAGTACCACTGACCAATCACAATGGACTGTTGGAACTCACTGCCCAATCACAATAGGCGAATCCGTGTCGTCTTGAGCAGTGTCCCGACGCCGTAATTACACGATCATTCATTGATCCACCATTCATTAACTTCAGGGAGGGGAGTTTCTTACTGGCATTAATCCGAATTCGATTTTTTTTTCCACCCACACGGGCACTATTCATACCTCGGTCAACATTTCGTCGTCAAGGTTGTGATTTTTAGCACATTCCTTTGCTGTTTTCCTCACTTCGCCTTAAAACTGAAACAGTTATGCTTCGGGGTGAGTTTGGCTCCAAATTGCCGCCCGTGGGGCAAGGGGAGAGGTATACAGTGTCACACCATGGATGGACCAAAGATACTGAACAAGGGAACACCAATCATTGTCTTGCACCTACGAGGCCCAACGGTGGGGGGATCAACATCCAAAGCCCATCAAGTCAGGCCGGAATGCAGTCAGGAAAATACGGTCAAATGCTTGATGACGGCACCAGCAGGGAAACAGAGGGACAGGATACCCGGAACCAGCATCCTCTGACAGTCAACACCGAGTGTTGCACGCCGAGGGACGCCGAAGAGCATATCACTGCGCCCCACCAGCAAGCTAACCTTTCACGTTACGCATTTGACAACCACTTCCATCCCAGCCCGGAGTTAGCGAACTTCTCAACGCCACCAGTGCCAAATTACCATCCTTACCATCACCAGTATCCTCTGCATAGTCCTCTTCACCATTTCCAGCAGCCTCGTGGTGGATCCATCTATCAGCCGGACTCCCTTAACCTTTCAGAATACCCCGAAGCAGCTCCCTCGAATCCATCAAACCCTGGCAGTCACTGCTTCCTCCCTGCGGGGTGCTCCTCTCCAAAAGTCCCATCATCCAACTGCTCGTCTCCGGTGGAGTTCGAGGACCTTTCACTGAACTCTAAGACACGCCCTGCAGCCGGACCGAGGGGGCTAGAACTCGCCGGCGTTCCCAGCTTCCCCATCCCGGGTGCCGAGCAGTGCTTGCAAGAGCCGTCTCCACAGAGCGAGCGTCTCAGCCCGGAGCAACAGGTACCGACCGTGGGCTCGTCACCCCCGTCCGGATTCACCAAGGCATCAGTGTTCCTCTGCAACAGTGAGCTATGGAGAAAGTTTCACGAGCATCGGACGGAGATGATCATCACCAAACAAGGGCGGTGAGTATATTGGCCAACTTTGAAAATGTCCTATTTTTCCATTCATCTTTTTTCACCTCATTTTCTTTACCCGCGTTTTAAAAATTTCAGCTGTACCTTTTAATCGATGCTTTATATAGCCGTTTTGCCTTGAAGCTGTTGGTTAAAGTTTCAATTAAGAAAGGCAGAAGACACCGACATGTCCGATTGGTTTCTGTCATGTCTGTAGCACTTCTGTTTGTTGATTTTTTCCACCCCTTGCTTCTATTCCCCGTTGAGTACAAATATTTTGAAACTATTGGACATTTTTTTCAGCATGGGGATGATGGTCGTATACAAAAGAACATTTGTTTATCAGCAAGATTAGGTAGAAAAGGAGCTATTGCTGATACATTCCTTGATCTTCAAACAACTTCAACTTAAGGGCAAATATAAATTCGAGTGTGTCTGGACTCGTCAATTTAATTTCAGTTATTGTTTAAGACTTTCACTTGGCCTTTCTTGTACAGTGAAGGGCGTTCACAAAGTTGAGGTTTCGGGAAAACTTTTAAAATAACGAAAGAAACATAACGATAGTCGACAGGATTTCTTCTGAGTGCGTTGTTTACTCCGTTGAATGGTATCGTCTGTAATATTAATGTCAACGAAACAGCCTACAAGACATTGGTTCGGCTTCAACTTCTTGGGATCCTGATTCGAAGTCAGACATTCATCAGCCGGAACGAGTTCAAAGACTGGCTGTAAGATTCATCTACAACAAAGCGCGACACCAGGGAAAGTTACATCGTTTCTCTCAAATCATGGATGGCTTACTCGAGAGCAACAAAGAAGAATCAGTCGATTAGTCATGCTCAACATACTCAATAAGATTCTGAATGGGATTGTTGATGCAGCAGAGGCTTTTGTCACTACAAACACACGATCATCTCGGGGACACAAATATAAATTAACCCAAGTATATGCCAGGACCAGTGCCTTCAACAACAGCTTCTTTCCACGGACAATCGAGGATTTGAATAATTAACCTCTCACCTAATATTGCTGAATCTGGAAAAAAATTTACATGCAACCTTTAGAGCTGAACTTTTCAAAATGTTCAGTGCTTGTAAGTAAGCTTCCGAAGACATGTCTAGCTCCACGCCTCAAACTAACTTTCAAATTGGTGTGATGTTTCCTGGTGGAGGCTTTTCCGACTATTCAGATTCAGATAGTCTCTCGACTACCACTACATGCTTTGTGAACTCCAGTCTGATACTTTATGGTTCATGTTTCGAGATCAAACTCCAAAAACTTGGGCTGGTTATTATCATCCTTCAGTTATTTTATACACTGCTTTTTATTTTCTCGTGAAACTCTCAGCAACAAGTACACACACGTATGTTTACCTTTGTTTATCTGTGCTTCCCTTCTCTATTATGGTCGGACAGCCAGTTTACCCTACTCGTCAAATCCAACATCAAAGGTGATTGACCGACGAGTCATGCAACCCTTTAGTCCAGATTTCTACGTCACGCCGGCTGGTTGGTCTTTCTGAGAACCCCTTGCACCTCTGTAATCGCTTTAGAGGAGGGTCTTTCCGGCTGAACTTGGCCAATTAACACTTGGTGACTAAACTCCTAACAGTCGTCGATATCTGCGGTTGTAGTTAGTAGAGAGTTATTTTATTTTTTATATTTACATGTATATGTTTTCCGTCGATAGACAACTGACAATTCGTCTTTGTTTTGCTATTATGTGTCATTTAATTTGATGACATTTTGCGATATCATAACACGAAAAGAGCGTTTGAACCTTGACCAGGAATGTTGGAAACTTTTACTCTTGAGATGTTATTTTTTTGGCGGTATTTTTTGGCAAATGATAGCCACTGTTGGGAAGTCCATTTCAGAACAGATAATGGCCGCTTAATCATACTGCAGTGCAAAAAGGGCGACTACACGTTTGGTCAAAATGTAATCCAAATGTATGGGAATCACCAAGATTTTTTTTTCCACGGGAATTTCTGGGGTTGGGGGCACTCATCTGCTCTAAACTGGTAGGCCTAAATCAATACAGTGGGAAGGGTCCATTTCAAGCACAGCGATTTCCATAACTTTTTATTTGTCTAATTTCTTTGTGCCCTCCCCTTTTCCCTCTCTCTTTTTCCCTTCTTCTTTTTTTATGGGGGGGGATTAGCTCCCCTTTCCCCTCTCCATGTCTATCAGTGTAAGCCAGACGCCAAAAACTCTCAGTTAGTAAGGCTTTGTCCGCATTGGGGCTATGGCTTGAAAGTACAAGCCACAATCATATAGGGTCGTGTTAAAATTCAAGTCGTGGTTAAGTACTACGGACACAACCCGGCCCATGACATTGAAAGGGCATTGACTGGCCAGTAGCCACTCTGACGGTTTTGTTGGGCCTGCTTGCAGCCTTCAAAATAGACAATGTGATTTAACTGCTTCATCAAACCAATGTTTGACGCCCTTTGACATTTTCTGCAGTAAAAACGACTTCTAAGAATAAGAGCTTGAAATACTAAATCTGTATCTACATGTATCATTCTCATTACATGTAATTTGTTGGGAGATTTTGTCGGTTCTCAAATACATGTAGTTTGATTTTTAAACGCCTAATAAACAATAATTCTTTAAACAATAACTTGTTAAATTCCATTGTGCGTATGAAATTCAAAACAAGGCACACTTTTTTTTTGGTTGTCAAAAACCTAATTCCTTTTTCGAAACAGATTTAGACGGTTTGAGTGGCAAAAATAAAAAAAAAATTCATTACAGACCCACCAAAAGTTAATGTTGTAATAAATAAATCAAATCGTCTTGGCATAACACGTTCTGTTTTATTGACTAATGTTCTCTCTCTCAGACGTATGTTTCCTCAACTGGTCTTCCGTTTGAGCGGCCTGAACCCTACAACCCACTACAACGTGTTCGTTGACATGGTCCTTGCCGATCAAAACGCTTGGAAGTTCCAGTGCGGCAAGTGGGTGGCCACGGGGAAGTCGGACGGAGTGCCTCGAGGTGAGACTACGGGTTGACCGTTCCCCCGTTTTAGTTCAGGTCGCACTCAAAAGCTACTTCCTGAAAATGGCACTGAATCGAACAAAAAAATGTGGTTGTTACTTTCCAGATATGAAATTAAATTCACAATAAATTTTGCCCTGCTTTACGTTTTGCAGAGCCTATGTCATGTGTAGTGATGGAACTCAGGGATGTTATGCCTATTATCAGTGGCGTATCTGGGACGAAAATGTTATGAGGGAACCGGGGAAGCACACACTTTTTCAGGGCCGGGCTCTGAAAATACAGCCTTGGGGTGCCAGAGGAGCAAAGACCTCTGTTAGGAGGGGGCGGGGTGTGCCTCCCCTCCCATGCTCGACATTTTCACAACTTTTCTCAGTTAATGGGATCATTGTATGTGAATACAATGGATAATTGTAAGACATCTTTTAAAAATTGTATCTTCTGGGCAACAGTTTCGTCGCTTCAGCTCGATGCAATGAAGAAATGATTTGATTTGTCGCTTTACTGATATCATATTGTCCAGCTATTGTCTCATAACACTGACCGATTCTCTGTATTATTTGTTACAGCTACGGGTATTTATAAACACCCAGATTCCCCAAACACTGGTGAACACTGGATGCGACAAGACATCGCTTTCTCCAAGCTGAAACTAACCAACAACAGGGGCAAAGACAGTGGATATGTGAGTACATGATGTTGAATTCGTCTGACTTGAAGACAACATAATTGTTTCAATTTGAGTCGTCATAATCATCACTGACTGGTTTGTATCTAACTGATAAGACGTGGAGGGTCATGTCATGTGACAGCGGGACACAGGAACGCCTTGAAATCAGATTTGCAACCTGAAGTGTGCATTTGACTGGCATCTGGGCAGCTTCAAGACGGCGTGATTGTTAAAATAAAATTCCTCAAGATCGTCATAAGCATGAAACTAATTTATGTTAGGTCTTCACTGTTTGCGTCGTCTGCTAAACGTATGCGCATCTTATGCACGCATCATGTTATCTATAATTAGTTAGTTATCTATAATTAGTTTTCCCTGAAATTGACCTTGAGAGCAGTTATTCAAGAACAAGTTCAAAAATCTGAACTCGCCGTAATTATCTCTAAAATGAAAAGATAAAGACTGAACCTCTCCTCTTCTTCGATTTGTTTTTTCTTTCTCATTTCTAGCTTGTGATTAACTCTATGCACATGTATCAACCTCGGATCCACGTCTTGGACCTGACAGGAGCCCGGGTGCTTCAGACACACAGCTTCCCTGAGACACAGTTCATAGGAGTGACAGCCTACCAGAATACTGACGTAAGTGCACGATGACTCAGATACTGTAGGATTGGTGCTTTGAACTGCATAGCCTAACACCAGACATCAAAATACAATACATAGATCAGATTTTCACAAAGCATCGATCTTCCTCAGGTTTGTAAATAGCTAAGTGTTGTTTTCGTCTTGTCTTTTGGACGTGTGTCGAGTTTTTTGTCTTCTCACTTAGTTTAGTGTCCGCTGAACACATAATGATAAAATAAAATGCAGAGTAGTAATTTTTGGCGACTCGACTCGGCTTGAGACACTTCATTACAACGACTCGACATGAGTAACTATGTTACAATGACTCGACTGGACTCGTTACAACTGTGGACCAATGGGAGGAGCCATCTAAACAAACTTTGGGTGCCTTTCATTTCCTGAGCACGTACCTGTGAGCATGCCGGAATTCCTGAAGTGTGCTCATTGTGAATGGAAAAAAATATACCAATACACTGGCGAAAACCAAACTTGTCGGAGGTTGACGTTTTATCCGAACTGCACTGTTTTATTTTCGTGTTTACAAGGAAAGTTCTGCCACCAATCATGACACTTTTCGTTGTTTTGCCTGTGTGTCTGAGGTAGCACATACTGAAATCGCAAGATTTTAGACATTATAATTTTCGTTTAATATTTTGCCGACTGGAGTTTTATGTTGTAATTGATATTTTCTCTTTGCAGATCACTCAGCTCAAGATAGACCACAACCCATTCGCAAAAGGGTTCCGAGATAATTATGACAGGTTAGATTTTTTACATATCTTTTATCTATTAAGCATCAGGAGAATGAAAAACAGTAACTGGTTAGTAGGGTTATTGAGTAAGATGATGTAAGAGATTTTGAACACAGGGTCTAAGGATGATTCTTTTTGTAAACTAAACCACTTGGTCTCCATCAAAGGAATTTTTAGCGTTACCTGTACTAATTCCCAAAATGGAAGCATTAAAAAGGTTCCAAAAGTCAGTTTAAACATTGTATCATAAGTCCAATACATGTATCTATTATGCCCATAGCCCCATAAAATTTCCTTCAACAAGCTCATGTACCCACGGACCATTTACCCAGGGATGCGCAACCACGATCGGCCCCAGTGCAAACACATGTGCCACCTTGGTTCCATGCGTGTTACAGATTGCAATTACCCCTGCAGGCGCTCTTGACTTTTCTCGAGAAAACTGCGACCACATGACACGCGTTGCAGCATGCGACATGTACAGTGCAGCCGCGGTTATGCCAAGACAACGCGCCGACGCGGTGCTTAAATCTATTCATGTCGACGAATAAATCTTCTTCATTTATCGATTTCAAGCAGAAACGAAGTTTTAAAGAGGCAAAATCCCCCAATGTTGTGGTACACTTTTCTCAGAATGTATTATGATGAAATATTTTGAGCAGCATATTTTTAGAAAGGGTGTACCCTGACTTAAAATATTACAAGAAAACAAAGTCGTAGACAGGAATATATGTTTTATTATTAGAGATAATCCAATTTAATTTCTGCTTTGAAATTGTGCCGGCCGTAACACGCATTGAACCAGCTCTGAGCTGAAGTTGCACATTCCTGGGTAAATGGTCCGTGATATACCTCGTCAACTAGGTATTATCTATATGTTAATTTTTTTTTTCAATGTGATTCTTCATATAGCTTTGCTACCAGAGAGCGTCTATCTTACGTGGCTAGCCTCCAGGAACAGCGTAACCGAATGAAGCCTGGCTCGACGTCTAGCGCCACCGTCCCATCCGATACATCAGGCTTGTCACGTTCGCAAAACCCAGTCCAATTCGCGGACAGTCGTCATGAACGGCGACCTCTGCCGGTGAGCCTGCTGCGAGGCTCTGAACTGTCTCAGTTGACAGATTCGCCGCCGTACGGAAGCAGCCCCTCCGGCCATGGGGTTTGCAGTGAGATGGCCACCTCCAGCACCGCCCACAGTTCTCCAGAGTCCATCATTGAGCAGGAGGGGCCATTGCCTATTCTGGAAAACCCAAATAGCTCAACCCAGCTGGAATCAGTCTTCAACACTCCACCGAACCAGAGCCCACACGGAGGGGGTGAGGGCAGCGAGAAACATCCCCCAGCGCAAAAGTTGGCAGAAGGAAATGGCTGCGGTATAATGGACAGTGGACAGCTTCCGTGGTTGAACACCCCTCCCTCTGTAAGCTCCAGTGATGCCAGTAACCCCGACTTGCCAGCGACTAAAAGGCTTCGAATTTCACCAGCCAGCTCAGGTTCGTCCTCGGCCACTTCCGGGTCGTCTGTTCTCACTTCTGGGTCATCAGCATCCACGTGCCCACCTCCTCTGACATCCGGACCTTCGGTCTCTTTCCAACATGGAATGGACAGCAGCATATCCACAGAGGGCGCCCTGCAGTGTTCCGATCGCTCGTTGGCCATGGGGCAACTACGCTACTACGGCGTTGGCGAAAACTTCGCCTACCAGAACAATTCGCCCATGAACTATTCGTACATGGGACAACCTCGGGCAGGACTAAACCTTCCAACTACCACTCCTTACTACTTCCAGCAAAACAACTAGGCTTAACAAAGACCACGAAAGCAACTCAGATTTGTTTGTCTTCCAAACATGCCGTGACATTTCCCTGTGATTTTTTTTTTAAATGGGGAATTTTACATGACGCCATGGGCCTCTTATTTCTATCAGAATGCTGCTAGAACCCGAACATAATGACCTCACGTTTTTATGCATGCTAGATTCTTTTTGTGGCTGTGGGGACAGCTGTTAAGTCAGTCGGACGTGGCCTTGCAGATCCCCTTTATTCGGTTGTTGAGTTGTGTTTGTCTCTAAATTGTATACATTTTATACTGTGACTGTGGTGATCACAGCTAGGTTTATTCCCTACTGAATTATTCATATGTTTAAAAAAAAGCGCCTCGCTCAGATGATGCACTAAGTGTACATGCAAATTTTCCACATGCATAATATCATTGTGCCCGAATAACGGCTTTTCAAGTACCCCTTTCAGATCAATCTGCTAATATTCAACGCAGAATGACATTTGAGCGTCCAAATAGGTGCACCTGTCGACCACGAACTCGCATCGTTGACAACCATTTATTGCCCGGCCGATTATATACGGCCATGAATACCATGAACAACGTCACATCAATGTCAGAAAGGGTTTCACCCGCAGCCGGACTTACTGCGAGACATATTATCCTTCACTAGACGAAGCAGCGATTGTGAACTCTAATCAAAGGTGCCACTCAGGTTTTGAAACTAACCCCATGGGCATAAATTGAGTATTTTTTTTCCACGGGGAATCGATTGTCTTGTTATCATTTAACTGAATGTAATTATTGTTAGTCTAATTCGGGACAAATGCATTGTTCTCTGGATATCAAAGACAATGCCGTACGGAAACAGAATTCTGTTGATGGGGAATCCATGATATAAGTCCGTGCTGTCCACGATCTGTGTCGGAATCAAGCATGTGAACAGCATGTGAACAACGACGATTATCTCGCGTCACTCAATCTTATCTCACTTTATCGGTCACGCCGGTTGAAAGGTTCAAACGTCCTACTAAATAAACTAGCATAATATTATTATGCCTGTATTTGCAGTATTGGCAACATGCAATATGGATAGAAAGCTGCAACCCTTTCATAGTTTGGTGCGCTTTTGAAAAATTCGTTAAGAATGACTCCGTTCGCTTTGACGTTTTGTGTTCAGGTTGCAGTTTATTTTTTTGTTTTCTTTAATTTCCTTATTTTGATTTGTGGGGGGGGGTTGTTTTGAATTGGTTCATTTTTTTTCCTACACCCTGTTTTTGCTTCTGTTAGGCCAGGTTAGAAAAACGTCGCGAATGGGTTGAAAGAAGCCATGCAACCCTTTTTGTAAATAGATAGATATTATTGTAAAGTTCTTTGACTTTAGTTAAATGTGATGTTTTGTGAACGTTGTGCAATGTTACTTTATACTAAAATGTCCTTGTCAGCCCCACGTAAAATTTCAGCTGAATAAAAAGTTTCTTTTTTTGTGAGAGGTCAAGGAATATGGAGCATGTTAGCTAAAAAAAAATTTTTTTAAAAATGTTTTTCCCCTTGTTTTTATTGGTTTTTCAGTTTCCTGACCTATTGCAGAGTTAGGCTCCATGTTCTGAAAAGGGAAATTCAATTTGTTTGATATTTTAAGTAAGTTGATGGTCAGTCCCGGTCAGTAGTCCCGTATATAGTTGAGGTATATTTTTACAGGGCAGAGCTCTTTCAACTTTTCTTTTACCACCGCAAAGCTATATCCACAGGATGATATCATTAACTGTTACCAAAATGGAACAAAACGAACCCCCAAAACACAAACACACTCACTCCCTTACATATGTATACTTGTGGGGTTTTTCCTTTGTTCTCGTGTACAAAACTCCCACACAACACGGAAAAAAATCTCAAATCACTGCCATTTCAGCCAAATTCAGTTCCAGGGTTGAAATTTTGACCGTACCGGTATGTCCCTTATATAATTTACGACGGACGAATGGCACTTGAAAATTCCTCCTTTTTGAGTAAATTTGAAACATCTATTTCGTGAAATTCTTGTGGGGTACCACTTTAGTACCCCACAAGGATCAAAACTGGCCTTGTGGGGTACCTTCCATTGTTCCGGTACCTCACAAGGCATCATATACAAGGCTTAGCGCACCCCGGTGTGGGTAGTCCATGCTCTCCTGTGGTTAAGAAAGCTCGGGCAAAATATGATCCTTTTTTTCAACGGGAGATGAATCTTTCGAGTCGGATTGTTAACGAGGATTTCGTGAACTTATTCCTCTTTATTTTGCTTGAGTAACCACTTGGTTTTGTTAAGTTGTGTTTTGTCTTAGATTGCTAAATTCCAAAGTACAGAATGAGTTTTGTCGTTAGACGATGCACCAGAGGTCTTCAGGTGTAGTATGTAGTGGGAACGTAGTCTTCCTGCAAGATGACAATGATTACCATGACCTAGCGCCATCAAATACGAAGCACATGAACTTCGCCGTCTTTCGGCGATGAGTTAAGGTCCATTACAAACAATAGCGTCTTGCGCCAAGACTAACCGAAACTGGGTCGGTGTGATACACCCGTCCGAGACACGTCTCATATACTTGCATGATTGTTGACAGTGTTCACATCATGGTGTTCACATGGACAGTTCACTACCCGCTTATTCTGTACTTATCCAACTGTCACATAATCGGGCACTTTATGAAAACAATTTTGCAGACTACAACAGCAGTTTTCGCTTTTGGAACAAAAGTGTAAAGTTTTGGCATAATATCGCTTTCTTGGTAATTTAAGATTTTGACATTTGCGGGGTGTTTCTCGTAGTTCCACTAAGCTGCTTTCAATTGAGGAAAAATCTCTTACTAAAGTTAAACTATTACCTATAGATTCCACTGCGGTTTTTTTTTTTTTTTGAGCTTGTCTCTGAAACTTGGCCAATACCTCTTTAAAATTAGCCATATAACCAAATACTGGTTCTATAGAAGAAAGAAAATGTCCACATCTCTTAATCCTCAAAGAGCCGGGCCATTTTGGCCCATTCACAGCCAAGAGGTTGGATTCTGCCCCCAACCCCCCCCCCCCAAAAAAAAAACTCGGCTGTGCCCAGCTCGATTTCTGAAACTTGGTATGCATGAAGAGGCACTCATTGTCATTACAGATGTGAAGTTGAGCTCAATCAGACATAATCATCGATTTATTGTTAATAATGTTAGTTTGAAGTAAGTTAAAGGTTTTGTGGTTGTGTGGCTTTATCAGATAAGACTTAAAAGCTCCGGTTTCAAACGGCTGATAATAAGGTCAACTACCCAACTGAAATCTCATGGACTTACATAACTTACGAAACCACGCAACATTCACTTATAATGCATGCTCCTCTCTAATGGACAGTGGATGACCTTTGATCAGAAGTTTAAATGTTATTGTATACGGACATGGGAGACTGAAGTCATTGCTGACCCTCAGTGCACACTTGTGAAGATCTCAGTGGGGAGTTTCGACTCTATTCGCCCTTATACAGAATGACTGACTTCACAGCCTATGACACCACTTATCTGTGGGTGGTCATCGTAAGCTTTCTCATTTCTTTCGTCTTGGCGATTGGTCTCGGTGCAAACGACTGTGCAAACTCCTTTGGCACTGCCGTTGGATCTAAAGTATTCACACTTCTTCAGGTACGTCTTTTATTGATTACAAAATGATCCACAATTATACTGAAAACTTAAAAACTTAAACAAATAACGAGTTTTAAAACTTTTAGATTTACAATTACAATACGCCCTGTTCCACTTGCGTAAAATAATTAATTTTCAAGTGGTGGTGTACACAATTATGTATAGCATGTATTTCTTCACTTTCTCTTTCTCCAAAATTGTATTGTCAATAATGTTTTCTTGAACAGGCATGCCTACTGGCCGCCATATTCGAGACCCTAGGAGCCATCTTGTTGGGCTCAAGGGTATCCGACACGATACGAAAAGGCCTCTTCGACCCATCACTTTACGTGGGATACGAGCAGGTCTTGATGATTGGTAACCTGTGTGCCCTGAGCTGTAAGTTGCTTCATCGACTTATTGCCTGCAATATCTTATTAATTTTGTTGATATCCTTTGGCCGGGGAGTAGGGTAGGTTGGTCGAAAAAAAGTAAAATCAAAAGGCATGTAAGGCTAAACAAAATGATACCAAGTGTTCAATGTGTAATTGTCTTGTGAGTTATTTTCATGATTGTTTAGATAAATGAAAAGAATAAATCGTCATCAGCCTCTCTCGATATAAATTGTACGAAATGAGGTACATTTTTACTCTGCAAATACCATCAGACGACATTTCCGTTCAAAGATGGAACTGGAAGGGGACTGGATTGGATTTACACCCCAGTTTCTGCTTCGAAACTTGAGACTCAACGCTTCAAATACACTCGCAGAGAAATGGAGCGCTGAAATGACTTGAACAAGCCAGTTGAAAACACGTTAGCCATCGATGTGGCGTGGACTCTGCTTCACCAGTACTTACCACATTGTGGGCACACATAAGATTTTGCTGACGAAACAAATGGCATTTAATCGTAGACCTGTATGACCATGTTTCGTCCCCGTTTTCACAAAGATCCACACATGTGAATTTTAAACAAAAACTGGTTTTCGAGATAAGCACCAGAGAAGTTTCTCCTAAAACTGCGCTACTTTCTTTGGTAAAAAACCCTAAAGTGATTCTGCTAAACTTTTGTTTGAACCCACAATTTAGAATGGACACGAAGACGCGTGTTCGTTCGTGAAAACTTAAATACACGTTTTCCGACTTTGTTACCCTTCTTTTTAATTAGGTTTTCCGAAAGGAGGGGCATGCATGTTTATGCGCGGGCCACTGTGAATGTAACAAAGATGTGTGCCCCTTTGTGAAAACGAAAATCACAACTGACCGACTTTTCTACTCAGTACATTCGTACGTGTGCGAGGGGCAGTCAGATTTGTCTCTTTGTGAAAACGCCAAATACATGTACAGTTATTACAGTTATCACGATTTCTGCCCCTTGCAACATTAATGAAATTCTGACATTATTTTCCTTGTGGGAGCATGTCGAAATCGTCGGGAAAAAAGTCATTTTTGACATTTCCGCCTCTTCGTAAAACGGTTATGATTCCCATGCACAAACTCAGAAAAATTGTAATGTTTTCTTCTTTTTTTCTAAGTCATGTTGAAGGCAGGGTAAGTGGAGTGAAAAAGGTTTTTCTTTGGTCAGGCGCCTAAAGTAGTCGGAAATGAATTCCAAATATAAAATCGAAAAGGGGTCACCATATTTTCACCTTACATGTACCAGAACAACTTTTTTAGACAGGTGTACTAGGGTCTCGCTGAACCAACTAGAATTAAGAGCGACTCGAGTCGACTCAAATGAATCTTGGTTTCAGACATACGAACTTAATACATACATTTGCATTGGGTTTTACACATTAAAACATGGACTTCTGAAACCAAGTCGCTCTGGTGTCGTTCAGAGCGCCTTCAAGTGTCGATCTTTCACTTGCTAGTACGCCTGGTGGCTCCCAGTTGTTCCAGACCTTGAACCTTTGCCGTACTTAATTCAAAATTTGCTTTTAATTTAGTTCTGTGCAACCCTAGAACGCCTGTCTGAAACGGGTGTAATATTTACAGGTGTTTGATTTTGCTCAGAACCGACGCAGTTCTGTGCTGTACGGCAATGCTCAGAACAAAAACCGGCGTTTAAACTGTTTATTCACTAAAAAACAGAACCCCCACACACAAAACAAACAAAAAGTGAGATTAAATGTGCATGTTAATATAATTCTGCCAATCGAAGTGAGGCCATTTATCGGTTGGAAATTCCCAAAAGTAATATTGAACAAAATAAAGCTAGTCATACCACAATAAAATTGACAACATTAAAGTTAATTACCTGAGCTTGAAGAAGGTCGGTGCAGGACTGTCTCTATATTAAATACCTTCATAAATTCACTTATTATTGTTTAATGGCTTTATCTATCCTCTCTGATCACCCAATCAGCCTCTTGCATTTGGCTCCTCGTGGCTACGGTCGCCAAGCTTCCAGTTTCTGCCTCGCACAGCATTGTTGGAGCAACCTTGGGCTTCCATCTTGTCATGTTTGGGGGACAAGGCGTGGACTGGGCCGTTGTAATCAAAATAGGTAGGTTTCAAAGATTAACAATATCCCCAAATGGCAAGAATTTTGCATTATCATAATTTTGAATCATTTAGAAATCGTTTCTGTTGGAGCAATCGAGAAATGGACGTTTCACACATTTTGGAATTCAAGTATTGTGCCAGTAATAGATTCAGTGATAAATGTCGCACCACAGGTCTATAAGATTTTGATAAATTTTGCTGCGAAGGCTATCTCAAATTTCAACTTCTAAACGTTGGAAATAAAAAACCTCGTGCAATATTTGTCGAGGAATTTTAAAGAGAAATCTACATACTTATGATCCTATTAATGAAAGGAATCGCACGTAAACATGTTTACACTACTTTACGTCTATTTGCCTATATAACACGAGCTAAAGAAATTGTAGCGACAAATATAGCTTATCTGTGATGCAACTAGGCCTATTAATGATTACACATGGTGGACTGCCGAATGCTGCATGCATGTTCGTCACATGATAGAAGGGATTCAGCCAAATGAAGTGGGTCGTGCTATTTTGGGTCTGACCGTTTTTTGAACTTTTGAAACATTCAGACCAACAGTTTGATCTCTGATCAGCGACAGTTTTGCGTTAACACTGTCCACTGCTTTTATTTTGGAATTTTGGGTGTGATAATAGATTTACTTGATGGCTCTCGCTCTTAAGGCTTAGGTGTGAGAGGAACACGCTTCTATTAGAGATTTGAAATATTTGAAACCCTCAAACAGTATCAGGAGTTGCGTGCTTTGAAAGAAAATATTGTTAGACAATTTACTCGTGTCACGTGACGTTATTGAAAGTCTTTGCATTCAGACTGTCATCACACCCGACTGTTTGAAGTCCCTCGCGGTGTTGTGTCTAGCTTCTGCAACCCACCCCTTCACCATGGAAATTTGTATTGTAACTTTTCACCTTGACTCGGACGAAACAATGTGGATCGTTCGTCTTCGAATATTGCCAAGCGATACGTGAAATGTAATCGAAGCTGCCGGGAGATCAAATTATTATCCTAACCCTCAGTGACAGCTTAAAACTGGCTGCTTATCCCTGAACGCCATGTTAATGAAATACGGAGACATTTGTTGTATTCATGTTCTCGAGTGTATGCAGCACGGGTGAATGAATAATCAGCTTAAAGCTACCAACTCTGTTCACTGAAACATGCGTCTGCGCGCTCTTCTAGAAGGAGAGATTATGGTAAAATGTCCTGCTCAACGACACAGAAGCAGTGATTGCATTCCTGTTTCCGTTTTACTTCAAATGCAGTTGTCTCGTGGTTCGCTTCGCCATTGTTGTCAGGCATCATCTCTTGTGTAATATTCTTGATTCTCAAGTACTCCATGCTGGAAAGGGTAGGCGCTTCATTGTCTTTGTCTGTCGGAGGGTCTACGTATTTAGCGGGCTGTTTCTCCGTCTGCAAGGCGATTTGTTTGTCTGTCTTGTTACTGACTGGTCCTCTGTATGTGAAGAGAACGAGGGACTTTTGTAATTTTGAAGGATTCACCCTTTCAGTCAAAGGGGTAAAAACTGTGGGTTTTTTCACATAACAGGCCGTTTCTGGTCTGTATGGGCCTAGGCGCCAGTCAACATCACAAGTCGAAAGCTGCTGATAACACATCAGACAACGGCTTTCAGCATTACACGTTTATATACACACATTGTTTCTGTTTTGTACAAAACTCATGATATTTTTTCCCAGCAAATACCATGTCAAATTCTTTTTTTTTCTTTCTCTTGCGACATTCAAGATGGCCGCTTTCTTGATAATTACATCCTGCATGCCCTGCAGTTTTCACTATTGTGTTTTTTTTTGTTTTGTTTTGCCTTTCACAGAAACAGCAGCTCAAGTGGGGTCTGCTACTTGTTCCTGTGTGGTACTTCTTCGTTGTCTTCGTCAACCTCTTTTCCATTTTCATTGGATCGGATCGTGGTGAGTAGACCTCAACGCGGCACGTGCTTGGAGGTTGCTGTCTGTATCGCGTGCCCGGCAAAAGGTCGCTTACGCCCTTTGGCCCGGAAGCATGATCACAGTAGAAAAAATGTTCCCGGTATAAAAGGGCGTAAGAAACACACTCTCTTTATTTAGTAAAAACGGATAAAATTTACTACAAAACAACACAGGCTGTGCAAAAAGCAACCTTTGAACAACTTATCAAACGACTTGGGAAATGTTTTGGGAACTATTTGCAAAGAAATCTTTATATTTCATTAAAATAAAACAGTTGCAAACATACGTCCTTTTGCCCGGAAAATTTTTTTGCAGCGATTAAGCTTCCCAGCAAAAGGTCTTAAGCGCTTAGGCCTACGGCCTTCTTCCGGGCACACGACGATTATTATTAATTGTTTGTTTATCAATTATACATTAGCTACAGTCGGATGAACTAGCAGGACATCAGCAGGAATCAAATGCAGACCAAGATTGGCATAGGCCTAATGATCAACGCTGTGGAAATAAAGATCTTTTGATATATCTGCACGTGTTGGGCAATTCTGTCGACAATAAGAATTAAGTATGTCCCATTCTTTCAAAGACAGCATTTCCTGACGTTTGGCACGTTTCCAAGTTACTGCTCGAAAATTGCAATAAAACTACCTACTGCAAAAATCCAAATAAATTTTTCCGAACTCGTAACGGGTCAAAATTCTCAAAACCGTTGCTCTACCCTCATTGGAACAGATATCAATTGCACGATGGTTCAACAGTCACTCACTGACACGAATAGTTCCAGTATGACCATCGGCTGCCCGGAAGAAGGTCGTAAGGGAGAAAATGGGTCAAAAGGTCACACTCAGGTTTGGAGGAAATTAAATTCCTTTAAAATATTTTTCATTTGGTATTCATATTGATTGAAGGGGCTACGTCATTCTGACGTAATTAACAGAATGAAAAGGACAGTAAGTAAATTTTCATTACGTTTGCCCGGAATAAGGACGTTACCACATAGTACTCGTATACAAGAAAATGCGCTAGCGTCTCACTGAATTGTAGACGCAGAACAAAGTGTATTCCCGGCAAAAGGACGTTAGCATAAAACGTAAATTACTTTAAAAACTCAAGGTTTTCACCCATAATAAAGCACAATATTATGTTAACCATCAACAAAAATTCGTTAATTTATTTACAAATGAGAGCCCCAAACCATTGAAACCGATTATCTCAAAAAGTAACATTTGCGTCAGGGGCTGCTATCGTCCCTTTCCTTGGCAAACGACAACGGATATTCAGTTCGACTTGTTTCCATGCTTAATTATCAACATGTGTTAAAACGGTATAAAAGGTTTTTCTAAATGCATGTACTTGTTTTCATTGGAAGTGAAAAGGAGGTGGAACGTTGCACAAAGGAGCAATTTTGATATTCTCATGCGAGACACCCCTTGTCGAAAGGGTATTATAAGAACAGTATAAAACCACTCACCAACACTGTTTTGAAGACATCATATTGGCCACTGCTATTGTCTGAGCAAGCTTTTTAACAAAATAAAAAAATGATAAAGTGGAACCTCCTAAGCTATGAATGACATCACGCTTTGGGGCATGAATATGGAAATCCAAAATGTTGAAATGTCTCCCTTTTAACTGCCACAAATTAGACTGAAAGTCATCATAAAATGCTACTCTTCGCGTATTTCAATCACAAAATCTTTTCACGTGCTTCTTTCAAGATGTTCCATTTTTTGTTTCCAGTTATCGATAACGTTGGTATTTGGCTGGTGCCCGTCATTGCAGTCAGCGTGGCTTTGTTCACCGCCACGGCGGTGTATTTCTTCCTGGTACCTTACACTCGTACACGAGCTCTGAGTAAGTAAGCTTACCCTAAACTTAACTAATCTCGAAGCATAGTACTCTTGAAAATCGTATTCGGTTATTCGTTGTGAACACGTCGGTACCGGTAAAAATACAGATAGAAATTCTGAACTTTACAGGACATTTATAGAATATTACAACACCTCAAGGATAATGCGATAAGCAAGTTCTACGGACTTGCTTTCATAAATTCAGCTTGAATTTTCTGGCGACAGTATTGTCAGATTTATTTAAAAACAAATCATTTCGTTGCATTTATTTCATTATTCGGGATACACTTTAATAGAAAGGCATTCAGTAGACAAATATACATTAATTTAACCATTTTAAAAGCAAAAATAAACGAATACAACCTTAACAATGTTATCACTGACAGGTATGCTGAAACTTGAGGCACAGAATGAAGCGGAAGAAGCGACTTGTAACGAAACTAATGTTGATGTGGAAATACAAAGAGGTACTATGACGAGTACAGTTAGCTATTCATATTTCATCAATATCCCAGTGAATTAAAAACGGCAGGTTAATTTGCTTTTGCGCCCTTTTATTTGAAAGGCACCAATGGCTTAATAGCCAACTTGAATCCGCCCCCAAAAAGGCACGCTTTCGTGTCTTTGGAAACACTGCTGTTTACAGACTGTTATCTTCCATACAGAAAAAGAGGAAATCCAGACAGAGAAAAGCTCAGCATCTGGAAAAGTTGACGACATTGCCGACATGCCCGATAGCGTGCTGGTTCCAAACGGCAACAGCAGAGAGGATCAATTGAATCTCAACAACAGTAACAGCAACGACAACAATGAGTTCAAGGGTCAAGGGCCGGATGATGAGGTCATCGTTGAGGTCTGCATGGATGAGAAACAAGATGGAGGAGGCCAACCAGACGAGCCGGCTGACATGGATACTAGGGACCGGAAACGAATCGGGAAGGAGTCTGCCGCCCGGCTGTCGATCAAAGACACCGTGTCCGTTTCGGCTATCTGCGGGCCATTGCAGGGGCTGTCGGCATGCTTTGCAGCGTTCTCACACGGAGGGAATGATGTCAGGTGAGACCGCCAACTCAACATTTATCAGCACATACCTCGGCAAACCTACAGTGCGTGGTCATGACAGAGACATGGTCACAAAAAAGATGCCAGTAAAAATGGAATTAAAAGGTTGTATTCAGAAAGAATAATTTTTTCAAAATATCGAAAAAGAGTCTCCTTCTGCTGTCTCGACCTGCATACAAAAGATTAATACATTTTCAAAATCTTCTTGTTCTTAAAAACACGGAGAAAGAAACTGAATTTCGGATGCTTTATCTGCCAAAAGTTTACATCCTGTGATATTCTGTTTGTCACAATTTGGTCCAACCTGTCAATGTCTTCGCTAAAATTCTCGAAAGAAGAAATCCAGGTGCGAAAATGTATTCCAGACACAAAGATACATTATCACAGACACATGCAAATATTTCCTCCTTTTTTACACACTACTTATGTTAATATCTTTAAATCCCAAACTGGTTGGCAGCAATGCTGTCGGTCCATTGGTAAGTTTGTACCTAATCTACACGCAAGGCGAGATATCTGGGACAGCCTCCACGCCTATCTGGCTGCTACTGTACGGGGGAGTCGGCATCACGGTCGGTCTCTTCACCCTGGGTCGACGAGTGATACAGACTGTTGGCTCGGACTTGACGCCAATGACGCCATCCTCGTAAGTATACGGTCCATAGGTCGGTCTCTGTGAAGCACTGGTCCGGGCTTATCGGCTGCACTGCTGCGCGTGGCCTCGTGCACAGTGCAATGAAAAATAACATCATACGCATCGTGACAAGGAGACGGGATAAGATGAGATTTAAGAGGGGCCAAGTTAAGTTTGCTTCGGTTAAAACGTATGGGTAAATTCCTATGTGTCAAAAAAACCAAAAAACAAATACGGCAAAGTACAGGCAACCCTAAGCTGTAGTCATTGTGCTGTTTTTACTTATCGCCGTAAGCGCTCTTGAAAAAGCACTTCTGTCATTATCTAAGTCGAACATTCTAACCGCAATTGTATTCTGGCTTCTCTCGCGAGCAGGGGCTTTGCCATCAATCTTGGAGCGGCCTGCACAGTCCTTCTCGCTTCCAACCTCGGCATACCGGTCAGCACCACGCACTGTCTGGTGGGTTCCGTGTGTGTGGTGGGCTTCGTTCGCTCTCGGCAGAGCGTGGACTGGCGCCTGTTCAGCGGCATTTTCAGCGCTTGGATCTTCACTGTGCCAATCACCGTGCTGCTCAGCGCAGCACTAATGGGACTCCTGCAGCACGCTGTGCCCGGCACTTGCACCTTGGCGCCTAGGAACACGACTGATGTGTTGACGTCATTGATGATGTGACGCCAACAGTGACATCCCAATTGACTTACTCTTGCAAATTAATAGACCCAATTACTGTATCGAAGTAAATCTCTAGGCAGTACAACCGCTTATTGAAGCTTCTATGTATTAAACCTGAGGAACCCTCGAAACCTGAATATCTAGCAGTTTTGCTGATAAATTATAACTCAGGTTCTTCAGAGAATAGCATTGACAGGGAAAAGGACCCTTTACCCTCTAAGCAATTTTCTCCAACATCTGCAGAAATTTACTTGGTGTTTACACTACAATTAAACCTGCGTCATCCGAATTTCACCCCACTGTGACGTCATATTTATACATATAATGATTAACTCACGGTCAAACAGTTGCGAGTGTTCGGTTCTATTTTGGGGACTTCGGGGCTTGGCTCCCGGTTTGTGAACCAAGCGTGCCGGTGAGAGTCTCACCGTTAATCCCTGGGTGGTAGGTAGTTACATGGCTTAAGACTGAAGGCTCAACTTGTAATGCATTTATAAATAGCAACTACTGCTGACAAAAGCATACAGGTATTTTTTGACAACTTTTATCTTTTACATATGAATTTTTTACCTTTGATCACCCTCTCAGACCATTCAGCAGCTTCTAACGTCCGGGTCTTTCAGACTTCCAAGTCTAGGAAAGGTTGGTCAAGGGCATTAGGAACCCCTGTGTAACAAAGTTTCCTTGAGGGTGAAAATGCTGGGTATTTTCTATCTTTGAAATAATATATTGTGGATTGACAGTTACATTCATAAAGTTATTGATGAAGTTCATCCTTTTTTGAACTATAAACTAGATAGTAATTTAACCCTGGGTTCACCGAAAAGTGGCAGGAACCAATTTAAATAACCAACTCCTTTTTGAGAAAACAAAATCAACTGTCAACATCAGTTACACCATGCACAGTTGAGACTTGTTTTATTGCAACCATATTACACGTTAAAATAGTATTGTCATGTCACCGGTGACTGTATAAACAAAGTGAGATAAACAAAGTGAGAAAAAAATATATGTATGTGTCATTATCTGACTACGGCACAAAACCCAGATATATCGCTCTAATGTTCATCAAGGATAATTAAAGTTCTCACGGTAGATATGCAGCTGGCAACGTCAACGGACCGTTGTCGTGAGGTGGTGTTCCGGCGAGAACTCAGCTATGCCTTTTCTCTGGAAAAGAGTTCAAAGGACTGTACATGTACTTGCGGATTTGGTGTCACAAGATGGCTGACACTTGATGTCACATGCTGACTGGCTGGCACACACTGGGTGTCACATGGTGGCTAGCATATTTGGTGCTGCATAATGGCTAATGTCTGGGTGATACTGGGCGATAACGGGGCTGGGGACCAGGTACTCCTTGACGATCTCAGACCAGGCGGTGACTGGCATACAAGTGTTGAGAAGCGGGAAGGACAAGCACCAAAGTCCCCTTCTGGCTATTCCCAGTAGACAACTCGGTCTGATGTCTCTGTATCTAACCGCTCCAAAGTGGACTAAAAAGGGCAAACTCTGCTTTCCCTCAATTAACACACTTTTTTTACATGTACGTTTAGGATTTATAACGCAAAACACAGACTTATATACACATGTATACACACCCATAAATTTAACATGTGGAAAAAAAGTTTACCAGCCAAATGAAAGAATCTATCTCGGCATCAAATACGCTTCATGGCGCCATATGACCAGACGTTCACATAAAATGCAAGTGCAGGCCAAATTAGACTGGCTCAAAGGTTTCTCGGTTTCGAATTACACACATGCACTGATTCAAGCTAAGAATTTTGACTTCTCAATGCTCATAAATCTCAAACAATGCTCATAAACAAAGAGAAAACTCTGCAGTCCGAGTCATCGGACAATAGTTTGAAATCTCTGGGCGAATTCTGACAATCCAAGTCGAAGCAAGCTTTCGAATACTCCATAAAGCAGTTCCCAAGGTTAAGGGCAGTCATAAGAAAATAAATCGTCAAACATGCCAACGGCTTTTAAGAGAATGCACGTTTTACCAGCCACGAGCTACATGCTGGAGATCTCTCAACAAAGACGCATGTACGTTCTACTCTCAGTAACATTACACAAAACTTTATAAGGGACTGTTTCTCACTTTGCCTAAAGCCACAGCAAAATGCACCAGAACGTTTTTCCTACTATGTACAGGCAATTAAGCTTACAAAGTTCTTGATATTAAAACTTGGCAAAGGTGCAAAAAGACGTCATAGCAAATGACTTCCAATACTCTTTCCTATTAAAGCTAACAATGTATCTACTCAAATTGGAATAAACTTGACTTACCTAAAAGAGCCAACATTCAATCTTTGCAGAACAGCAGCTTGGTGAAAGTCCCACTTGCAGGAATTTGGACCTCCAAACTTTAGAGCTACAATGTACTAACAACAATTTTCTTTGTCTTTTGCTCTAAAATACTGGACAAGGAGTGGAGTGCTTCATTGTTCGCTGTTTGCTGACAAGATGTGAAAATGGCACATGGCCAGCAATTTTGGGTGCATGTAGCCCACAAACTCCTGCTGTGAAATAAAAGAGAAGCCAGACCTCCCGCACCTTCAGCTCTGTTCAATTTTGAATTAAAGTATGTGAAGATGTTACTCAAAGTTTACAATTTTATTCTCAAATATTTCCGGCATTAGGCATGCCCTGGCTCCCCATGGGGGGTCTGACGGGGGGGGACGCAAAAATGGAGACCCTGTTCCTTATCATCTTTTGAAAGTCAGTTCAACCTCTCATTAGAAACCCATTCTGCAATGTTCCTATTTTTATGTACCATAAGTATTTTCCTTTCTGGTTCTGATTTTGGAGGCCTTCACTGAGGTGTACAAGAAAACTTCTTTAAGATGAACAAGTAATATGTATTGATAGGGAAGAGGTAAACTAGGCCCATGTATTGAGAAGGGCACTTGATTGGCTAGTTTTCAACCCAGTGTTGGCACAGACTAACCCCCCCCCTTCACGGTGAATATTTATTTAACTTGTTCCTTTATCGGAAAAAAATGACCTGAATTTCACCCCTTTTCATACTGCCAAATGCTATGTGGTGATGATCAAGTTTATTTTGATTTTCCAGTGCCCGACCCTTGACTCGCGAGGTATCACAATACGTGTTTAGTTCTGATCAAACAGAGGCGCGTAATAAATTGCCAGAATTTGGATTAATCTGTAACCGAAGAACTGGGCCAAACGTCACTGCCCGGTAAAATGAACATGAACTCGAACTTGGGTCGCAGTGCAAAGTGCATCATGATCGGCATGCGTGGACAGTATACATCGCGAAAAATATCAGCGCTAAATTAGCCGCGAAATCAGTATCCCTCATCAAACCTAATGGAACCACTTACCACTTGGAGCACGTAGAAACGTCTACGTGTCGTACTGGTCGAATTCAAGGTAAGACACAATAGGGCGCCAACGCTTGATTTGCTTACCAGAAAAAGTCACGCTTTTGCCGGTTCCACACAGTACCTTTTTAACTTGTGGGATGTAATCAATCCAGCGGTAGTGGTAGGCATGATGTTGAGAGCTTCATTTAAGTTCAAAATTTCTCTTGTTTTGTTTAATTAATTTATTGATAATATTCCTCAGTTTATTTAGTGCTTACTCACCGGGTTTGATGTTTATTTGACCACCTTTTATAAGGCCCATTTGTTCGGCCTGTAGATCGGGCCCCCATCTTCGCCCTGCTCTCTCTTTTTCTTTACAATTTCCATTTCTTTATTTTCATTACTTGCCACTTTTTATATTCCTCCATCTTAACAGATTCTGTCTTTATTTCTTCACGGCGATCCTTCAATTTTCAAACAGCACCAGTAATGGTAACAGCACTGTTAATTTTCAAGCGAAAAAAGTGGTAAAAATAAAAGATCACTTTTATATATATACCGTATTTGTTGCATACTTCAACTCAAAGTCTGATAGGTTCCAGTAAATTACAGAATCAACGTTTACAGCATGGTGTTGTTCATATTCACTGTTTTAATAACCACAGCACGGAAAGATGCATTGATGCAAAGAATCATCAAAACCAATTAGAAAATATATAACCACTTCTTAACCCAGAAATAAACAAACTGAATTCGAGAATGTAAGAATACATATTCGACAAGCTCCACATCGCCAATTGCAAATATTCGTCACTTGGTAAACAGGCAGGAGTGTCCGTCCTTTTCATACGTCTTTTTATCAAGCCCGTAATGACAACGGAGAGACTTGGTAGATATTTGTGGCGACGTATAATATAAATTTTCTAATAAAGTACAACGAATTTGCGAATCCTTCAAAACAAAAATGAACTAATTGTTTATCAATGCACTGAAGCATACAATGCAGTTTCAATGACCTAGGCCTATTTGAATAGTAGTTTTACTCATCCGACAAACCATTTCTGAGAGCAGGAAAATGTTGGGGAAATATCGACTGCCAATAATTTCGGTCAAACGGTTGGTGCAGTTTTACTCGAATTATCCAACAATTTAATTAATTTGAGATAATGTGCTCCGATGTCGCCAGTGCACCTGAAGAATAGATCACTTTTATCAGAAATTAGCATTACTTCCTTTCTTAGGTGTAAGCTTCCCCATCACTGCCTTTTATTTTTTTATTTTTGCAAGCTTTTTTGCAGACTAAACTTCAAGGTGCCATTTCTCCTGAGCTACACGGATCGTGCTCAACTCATCGTGAGGGCGCAAGCGACACATACACATCCTTGTATACTTTACTGTCGCCGATTAATTTTCTTGCCAAAAGAAAAAAGAAATCTCCGTCTTTTCGCCTAAGTCTTCAATTGCATTCCCTTACTCCGAACCCCAAGCATTACAAGCAAGTATTCATCAGTCTAGAGCACATATAGTTGGCCGCCTCTGTGGTTCGCAGCTATAGGAACATTGTACTATAAAATGCTGGAACCCCAAAGCAGCACAAAAGAAATACAAATGCTGAAATAAATGTGTGTCTTAAAGAACAGAAAAAAAATCACCGGTAGTAACCACGCCTCCCTCAAGGCATCATTTTCTCCCTGTGACTTCATGTTGCATGGCCAGCATTGTGTTATTATGCCAAGACGGCTCGCATTTACACGTCACAAAATACATTAAAAACTCTCTTTCCTATTTGATTAATCACTGTCTCATAATCACTGTTAAACATTCGTCCCATTTCGATTACTGTGAATCTTTAATGGGCTACGAATAATGACCCATTCTGCTATTCGCTTGTGGAGAAAATCCGATGGAGTTTTCCTCAGAGAAATAAGTTTTATCTATACTGCCCATCAGCTTACACCACGCCACCTCGACAAATCAGTAAACCTTTAACCGGAACTGGCCAGTTAATAATCATAATATTAACGAAATTATATCACCAGCTTAGGTTCAGGATTATCGCAAAGAGCTGGTAGAAGTGTCCGTCAATTTGATGTTCAACTTCGTCACAGTCGAACCACGTCACCAACGCGTTTTCGCTACTACCATTACATATGCATAATGCAGGGTCTATGGCCAAACACACATGCAACATTGCTCAACTCGTACTTTGATTGCTTTGGATCTTGACACTTCTACTTAATTAACCTGTAATAATAGTTCTTTACCGATTGGCTCCTACAAAGCCCATATCAGGTGTTCCATCTCCTCCTCTCAGGCACGCTCAGAATCACAAGAGGCAAACAGAGCTTCCTCTTAATTGAAATGAGTCCCTTATGGAAAATAGGAAGCCTTTCAGACGCTTTTTTAATACAAAAAGGGCCTTGTAATCGACGCATGGGAGGACACACTAATATAGGCTTTCCCGGCCAATTTCGGAAAATATGTAAATGAATTAATAATAGCAGCCTTCGTTTTCGAGCAAAATAGAACGAACATTCAAATCCCTGTTTCTATTTTAACAAATACAAATTGTTTCAAGGTCATAGAGGGTCAGCAGGCAATTTCTAGGTATTGCACTGGCTTAGTATATTGAAATTCTTTTTGCGCGAATTCACTCTGCAGTCCTGTATTCATCTTAATTGGAACTCAATCTATTTCGCAAAATGTGCAGGTGATTTCGCCTGTGTGTTATTTAAGTTAAGGTATGCCTGGTCGAGAATCGGGATTCGTTTGTGTACTAACAGAATCTACATTCTGAGAAGTGTTTAGTTGATTGGTTGAATGATTGAATCGTCATTATTAATAATGAAATAAACCACTCATTCTGTTATTGGAAACCACCAACTACTGCAGGAAACCTATAAACACCGGCGCTGATGGAACCTCATTTTTTCACAGTTTGATAACAAATACACTGTAACCATTTAAAAGTAACATGACATTTATTATCAAAGTGGTGTCATGATTTGTGTACCGTGACCTTGTAGGCCTATATTCTAATCAAATTGAACATATATTTTGCGATTTTAGATTACATCAAATGGAAAAAAAACTCATTTCTCAAGGGTCACGGTAAATGACAGATTTTCAGCGAATAAGAATGCATGCACACTTGTTGTAATTGCAAGGTAGCCAATAAGTCAATCCGCCATCCCAGTCACGTACTTGCAACATAATGAAACATGTACTGTAATGCACATTCATTTATTTGAAGGGTGCAAAACAAAGTTGAATGCTTATTATTGCGAAAACGAAACCAGGTTCTAAGTCGTTTTCAAAATCTACGCTAAATTGAATTTTTTGTTTATAAATTATATTGTCCAATTTGGCCGGGAAAACGTTAGTTCGAGGCCAAACTCGTACAAAAACCATATTAAAAAATTACCTTACCATGTTTACCTCGGATATTAAGTACTTTATTGTGTAAAATACAACGTATTTTTTCACCAGAAAGACTTGACTGCAATGAGCTTCGGCTTGGTTTCAACAATGGAAAAATGGAAGTTGCTATGAAACCGCAAACAATAAAGAATTTCAAAGCACACAATCAGAACGAATCACAATCACGACAGAAAGAGTTTCCATCTGCCAACCAACCACTCATCCTGGCTCTTCCGTGCTTTCTCGGCAGATATCACAAAGTGGAGCCAGAGATGGATCTGCCGTACGTTGATCGATTTCTTGACCCGTACGACGAGAGTCTGCTGTGGATTGTCATCGTTGGATTCATCATCGCCTTCATTCTGGCATTCGGTCTTGGAGCCAACGACGCTGCCAACTCCTTCGGAACAGCCGTTGGAGCCAAAGTTTTCACCTTGTTACAGGTTGGCCAAAATGTTGTGAGAGGTTTCCAAATAATTGATAGGTGTAATTTATAGATTTTTCTGACTTTGGTGTGAGCGTGAATCACCTAATTATTCTGCCAATGCCAGACAACCTTTAAAAGCAAATACCACGGACTGGTGTTTTCATTCGTTTGTTTAGTTGTTTGTTTTTCTGTTTTGTTTTGTCTGTTTATGTTGCCGGTATTGACCGGCTTTTTTGGTATGCCAAAAATTAAGATACCTCCGTGCAATACTCGCACGGGGTGTAGCCACATAGACTAATAATCATTAGTGAATATCCAGACTTTTTTTGGCTTTCTAAACTTACACATTCCAAATTCACCGATCCTGTTTCGCAGGCAATTATTTTGGCGGCTATTTTCGAAACACTTGGATCGATCCTTCTTGGAGGAAACGTGTCTGGAACCATACGGGGAGGACTTTTCAATGCCTCAGTATATGAAGGGCACGAGGAGCTGTTGATGGTGGGACAGCTGTCGGCTCTTGCATGTGAGTGCATGGCTTGGCAGGAGTTGGTGGTGATGCGTTGTTGATGATGTTGGTGATTGTGGTGATGCTGCTAGTGATCAAGGTTGGTGGTGTTAATGGTGTTGGTGGTGTTAATGGTGTTGGTGGTGTTAATGGTGTTGGTGATGATGATGGTGATGATAGTGTTGGTGGTGTGATGGTGAAATGGTGCTGGTGGTGTTAATGGCGTTGGTGGGGATGTTAGTGATTGTGGTGATGGTGACGATATTAGGGTTTTGCTGGTAATGACAGATTTATTTCTGTTGTTTCTAGCTGCTTGTGTTTGGCTTCTCATTGCGACCATGATGTCACTTCCAGTCTCAGCCTCGCACAGCATTGTGGGAGCATCTTTGGGATTTCATCTTGTGGTATTTCTAGGTACAGGCGTGGACTGGTTTGTCATTGGCAAAATAGGTAGGTTTCTTAGAATTTGCACTATTCTCCGAACCCTGTTTTTCTACTTCGCTGTAAAACGGTTTAAAGTGATACAGCGGCTTTTTATGAATAACATTAATCTCATTTTCGATTAACCTCGGTAAAATTTGATCATTCCTTTTAATTGACAGAACATTTGTTTAGTTTAGCTAAAACGCAAAAAATTGGCTTTTCCCAACAACAGGTCATCAAACTATTGATGGAAGTATTTTAAAAAGGCAGAGAACAATCGAAAAAGCATTTAGAATTTACTAAACATGGAGTAGGCGTTCTTTTTATTTGTTCTGTTTTGTTTCCCAGCAATATCATGGGTTGCATCCCCAGTAATATCCGGCGTCGTGTCATCTGCGATTTACTACGTCTTGAAGTTCACGATGCTTGACAGAGTAAGTGTATACCTACCTTCATTTTAAAGTTTTAGAAATTTCCAATTCAAAATCACTGGGTGTTATTCTGTTCCTGAGATGTGCTCACGTCGGATCAGTGAGCTAACCACTGTTCAGTAAATTAAGTAGGTTTATGTTGACAGTTTCGTTAAAACTTTCCCGTTGTTGTGTTCATAGCATGATCAACTGAAGTCGGGTTTAAGAGCTGTTCCATTCTGGTACTTCCTGGTATTTTTCGTCAATATCCTGTCCATTTTACTGGGAGTCAAGGAAGGTAAGCTTAGAGTGGAAGTAGGAAGGGAGCAGTGTCCTCTATCTATTAAACCAAACCACCCGATCAGACTACCCACTCAGCCTTTGAATCGACAGGCGATATGTGATATGTGTGACACCCATTTCATTTAGGCTTAAGTAGATAACACGCTGAAGTGATCGTTTTTCCCTTGAATAAAACAACGTCAAAGCTACACATTAAACGACCTTTCAAAATGGATCTTTTCCAACAGGAAACAAAATTAAAAACAGAAAAAGAAAAATCCTCGATCCTAATCGTTTTCGTTACCCACTACACTCCGCAAGCCAGCTTGACCGCACTCCGTTTATTCCTTGGTTTATGCCAAAAACTTAACAAAATGCAGCCGAAGCTGCAACGTAAGCGATTGTAATGTTTTACCAGCATACTGCGTACAAAGGCAATATACTTCAAAAGGTGGGTAGTCGGATTGGGTCCACGAAGCCTGAGCGTGAAGTCAGGGCTGATGAGCATTGAAAACGCATGGTGTCACCTTTTGTGGATCCTGGTGAACAGGACAAATTATTGTTTTTGTACCACTTGGTGCACTGAAGTCAGAAAACAGTGTATTGTCCAAATGGGTTCGAAACAAGAACCACGTTATACTCGAAGCAGCGTGATAATAACTTTCATGCTGCTAACAAAAAAAATGTGTTTACTTTGTTTGATTCGTTTACAGTGGTAGAAGCCACTGTCCTTGGTGTGTGGTTGGTCGTTCTAATTGCACTGGGCGGGGGTCTCTTATGTGCATTGATAACATTGGCGTTTTTGGTGCCGTATACGAGGAGAAAGGCTAAAGGTAGGTTTTCTTATGTAAAGGAAAACTTTTTCCACGAAAACAGGTGGAATTCTCCAGAATGTCCATTTTTATACTCCACTTGTCAAAAAGTGCAAGAAAGTAGAGTCAATGTTTCTCGCAATTGTGGCTTTCGACTTGACGCTTTTTCGATGAAAAGGAAACCTAAAGATCTCTGTGCCACGAGTACTAAAAGCCAAAACAGAAATATAATGTTACAGTCATCATCCTTATGTACTTTATGCATCATAATCGCAAGCGAAAAAAGGTACTTTGCAAGAAGGAAAAATTATGCTGTTGTTTATGGTATTTGGCAATCAACTCTCTCATGAAACTAAAAAACCTTTTCACTCAAGCTTCGAGCCTTGCTCCATTTATTGTCAATGGCTTCCATGTGATGCATCTCAAACATAGTTGAAAATATGATTTCTGTAAATTCCACTTCATTTTCCCCCATAGGTGCTGAGTTGCGCCAGCAGCACGAACAAGCAGAAATGGGAGGAGACCAGACAATCAAGAAGATAAGACAAGACTTCGAGTTAGAAGGTTGGCTTATAAGTGAAAAAAAATGCTTAAAGAAATAGGCTTACCTTTGAAATACCGTTTGAAATTTTAAGCAAATTAACACCATACTGCACAAAAAACAAGGAACTCGTTTTTCTACGCAAATGCATAATTATTCTCTATAACATAGAATAGCATAACTATGATAACTCTCTTAACAGGACTCGGGAACTTGACTGTATCGCTTTTAGTCTGATGTTGGAAGTCTCTACCTTGAAATACTTTCTGAAGCCCATGGATTGAATTTAAGTCTCATACAATAATTCCAACCAATTCTTTGCCCCATTGTGGCCAAACATGGTGATTAGCTGGTGAAGAATATTAAATCAGAATTCATAAAGCTATTCACAAAATGCTTTGAATTTCAAGTGTTCGTGGAAAGCCAGTATGCCACCCCACCGTAGCTTGCCTTTGGAAACCGTCGGAATAATGAACAATAAAAAGATTGATTCCATGACTTTGCTCTCATCTAGACATTCTGATCAACTGATGGCAAGGCAAAATGTTTGGAAATTGTACAGTTTCAGAGACACAGGCTTACGGTAACAAGTGTATGACGACAGACGACGAAAATGGGAACACTAATAAGCGGGACAGTGACGACTTAGACAGCAGTGGCAACGAGGCAGGAGGCGAGACAAATCGCAGACACTGCAACTCCGCCATATCTGACGACGGTAAGGGATGCGAGTAATTCTTTCTCTGCCTTCACGTTGTGCAGTGCCACGTGGATCATGGACAATACACTCTCATGTTACAATGGAGTCCATTATGACTCATAATACACGTAGGTTGAACATTTCCAATATTCACGGAGTCGTCTCTCTTTTTCATCTCGAGACAGTTCAACTTCCTCAAATGCGTCAAATTAAGAAATCGCAAATTTGTTATCATTTTTTGAACGAGCCTTAAAAACCTGGTAAACAGCAAAAACAGCGGCTGCCACGTGATTGGGAATAGACAAGTGAGGATTCACCTCTTAATTATAAATACGCGTAAGGCGTGTTCCTTTCCACGCACAAAGACTTAAAGAATTGGTCGTGCGCAGTGAATGCCACACGGGACGCGATGTTGACTTGACTTGCATCGTACAGTTCCGAATTCAGTGTTCAGCTGAAACCCAAAGCCAATTGGAAAAGTTTTTTCAATGTAATGTATGTTACTCCGTTTCTTCTCAGATATTCCACACGACAGCGAGATCCGAGGTGGACGGGCGGAATCCAGGATGTCGAGGGTGTCGAAGGTTACATCCACAGCAGATGACGAAGAGGAAGACAAGGGCATTTTCAGTGTGAACAAGAATTCCAAGGACTGGCTGTCAGTCAAGGACACCGTGGCCGTGACAACCATCTGCGGGCCGCTGCAGGGCCTGTCGGCGTGCTTTGCCGCCTTCTCGCACGGTGGTAACGACGTCAGGTAAGTCGCACGTCTCATAGACTGCAGGGACCACATAGCAAAACAGACAGCTTGCAGTTGTGCAAGTGACGTAAAATACTGGTAAGCGTGCACGCGTGGCCCATTCACAAGAACATACACAGGAGACATTGAGAAATTGGCCTTTTGGCTAGTTTAGAGTCCTAACTTGTGGCTTGTCGGCTCTGTCTTCGGTTTTTATACACTAGCAGGAGTCTGTTTTATCGTGATGGAAGCA